CCCCCCCTCACCGGGGTAGTTCTTTATGAAGCTCTGGTAAAGCTCGCCCAGCTTCTCGCCGCTGATGTGTCGGTTCGGGTCATCGGGGGACTTGAAGTCCAGGTCGTATTTGCCGTTGCGGAAGAACTCGGAGGCCGCCACGTCCATGCCGATCACCACCTTGTCCGGGTAGCCGGCCTTCTCGATGGCAGACTTCAGCAGCTCCAGGGCTTGGGGCGAGGAGAAGAGAAAAGATCAGATTTGTACCCCATGGCCCTTCACTACCCAGGGGAGCCTCAGAGCGGCTGACACACTCCTTTCCCTTCCCCTCCCCACAACAGACACCCTGTGATGTAGGCGGGGGTGAGAGAGCTCTGACAGAAACGGCTCTTTTTCAAGGACAGCTGTGCCAGAATTATGGCTTGCCCAAGGTCATCCAGCAGGTGCAAGTGGGGGAGTGGGGGAAGCAAACCTGGCTCTCCCAGATTAGAGTCTGCGCACTTAAGCACTACACCACACTGGACAGTGACCCATGAGGGGCCTCCCCAGGGATAAGCCCCCCACTCACCCACCCGCAGAACCCCCACTGGGAACCCTAAGGACAAATCAGGACACCTCTCAGTCACAAAGGCTGATGCCCAGAGCTGAACTTGGCTGCTCTTAAAGGCCCCCCCCCCAGACTCCGACTTTCTTCTGTTGCTTCAGGCCAACGTGGCTGCCCCGGCTGAGTCTTATCTTCATGGGGAACAAGTTCAGTAAAGGGCCGGTGCTCATCTAGAGGAAAGTGGCTCAGAGTGTCAGGGGAAGAATACTTTCCGGGGGGGGGAGTGAGCCCCCATCAGATAGGCTGGAGGAGACCTGCAAGGGACTGTGCTGTTTTCACGTTTGGTGAAATGCTGGCTGCTTTAAACAAAGAGACCCTTTCCTGGATTTCTGGCTAGCTGGAGCTTTGCCAGTTTGGCGTTGTGGTTAAGTGCGCGGACTCTAACCTGGGAGAACTGGGTTCGATTCCCCACTCCTCCACTTGCACCTGCTGGATGACCTTGGACAAGCCATAGTTCTGTCAGAGCTGTTCTTGAAAAAGAGCCGTTTCTGTCAAGAACTCTCAGCCCCGCCTGCCTCACAGGGTGTCTGTTGTGGGGAGGGGGAGCGAAAGGAATGTGTAAACTGCTCTGAGACTCCCTTGTGTAGTGAAGGGCGCAGTATAAATCCAATCTCCTCCTCTTCATGGCTGTTAAAGGCAGGTCATAAACCATGTTAGTAGATTTTCATTTCCTTCCCCAAGTGGCTGGGGCTGGTAGATGTGGTCCCCTCCCCAGTTTCACTTCACAACACCCTTGTGAGGTTGGCTAGGCTGAGAGGGTGACCAGCAAGCTTTATGAGGAAACAGAAGCTGCATCTCTGCAGCCCTCGGCCAACACGTGTCCCCCCCCCCAATCTTGCCACCTGCCGCGCTCCCCGGGCGGAGTGGGCTTTCGAGGAGCCCTCCTGCAAAGCCTCCACCTGGCAGCCCCGGTGGCCTGGCCTTTCCGCAGGGTTCCGGTTACAGCCGCTGAGCTAATTCTAGCCCCGCCGTTTAAAGGTCTCGGGTGGGAGGGGAGGCCCTTCTGAAAGGCGAGACCCGGCGGCTAAAAGCAGCAGCAGAGGCAGGCCGGGGGGCCCCAGGCCTACCTTCGTTGTTCTCCAGGATGTTGGGAGCAAAGCCCCCCTCGTCCCCCACGTTGGTGGCATCCTTGCCGTACTTGGCCTTGATGACGGCCTTCAGGTTGTGGTAGACTTCGGCCCCGATCCGCATGGCCTCCTTGAAATTGCTGGCCCCCACGGGGAGGATCATGAACTCCTGCATGGCCAGCTTGTTCCCTGCGTGGGAGCCACCGTTGATCACGTTGAAAGCCTGGGGGGGGCGGGGGGGGGAGAAAACAAAAGCCAGCGGTGCCTCCAAGGCACACACACAGAGTGCTGTCTGCTAGTCCCTTCCCCATCAGGGAGGCCTCCGTTCCTGCCCAGGAGTTCCTGGGGCCAGTCTGCACTTCCTCTGGGGAGGGTCCCAGCGCCCCTTCCCCTGGCCCTCTTGCTGCTCTCCCCCGCCCAGTTCCAGAGCCCTTGAGTGAGGCTTCCGTCCCTCCCCCCTCCTCCTGGGTCACTCACGGGGACGGGCAACGGGCTCTAGGGCTCCCTGGCCAGGTCTGCGATGTGGCGGTAGAGGGGGACCCCTTTTTCGGCTGCACCAGCCTTGCAGACGGCGAGCGAGACCCCAAGGATGGCGTTGGCCCCAAACTTGGCTGTGGTCAGGAAGGAAGGAGGGCCGAAGGTGAGCCCACCTGGCCAGGGAGGAGGGCCAATGGGGGGCAGGGGGTGTGGGGGCTGGCCGCTCAGACTCACATTTGTTCTCGGTGCCGTCCAGATCGATCATCAGTTTGTCAATCTTCTCTTGCTCCACCACACTGAGTTTCTGTTATTTGGGCAAAATTTGGGGAGGGAGACAGAGAGGGGGGAATTTACTTCCCTGGAAGGGGCTTGCTGAGGCCTCATGCCATCTGCGGTGGAGGACAGCTCTGCAGGGGTCTTAAGTCCTCTGGGTGAAATGCAGGCTCCTGACCAACGTGCCCCTCCGGCCTTGGCCGTCCCGGATCCTTTCCCGTCCCATCCTGAACCTTCCGTATTGGCTTGCCGAGTTTCAATCGTGTCCTCCTTTCTATTTCCCTTTCATAACTGAGCCCTCTACGGGAGGGAATGTTTCCGCTGGGAAGATCTAACACTTGAGCTTTCTCTCTGGGTGCCCTTTTGCCCCACGGCTCCCTCGGCCCCCAAACCCCAGGCCCCCTAGCTCCCAGGGGGCCTTGCTGCGCCCCGAGAATGAGGCGGCCTCCACTTTGTCAGCTCTCCTCCCCGCTGTGGCTGAATCGAAAGTCCAGGGTTCGAACGGAATAGTGGGACAGGAGGCGCCAGGGCCTCTGAGTGTGTGCAGAGTGGTTTTCCTGCACGACCCACGGGTGGGGGGGAGAAGCAGAGGTGTGTCCGGTGCAAACGCTGTGTGTGAACTTGGTGGTAGTCTAGTCTAGGAAATCCTCTCCCCCCCCGCCCCTCCAGGGGGTGGGCAAGAAGACGGGCTCTAGGGCTCCCTCTCTGTCCCCTGAGGCTCTGGGAGCCCTTCAGCCCGAAGGGGCCCCGCCCTCTGCTGGGGGTGCCCAGGGAGGTCCTGGGGCGGAGGAAAGGGGTCTGTCACCCAGCTCTTGCCAAGCAGAGGGCTCTCCGGGGTAGGGACAGGAATCCTAAACCCACCCACCCTGGTCCTCTCACCTTCTCCAGCAGAGCGGGGGCCAGGGTCTTGTTGATGTGTTCCACCGCTTTCAGCACCCCTGCAGGGCGGGCAGAGAGGTTACCCAGCAGCAGTTCCCTGCAGCGCCTACCCACCCCAACCAGCCGGGGGCCAAGGTCTGTTCTGGACCCACTGAAGAAGTAAGGCGGAATTGCACAAGGGGGGGGGAGACAGATGGGCAAAGGAAGGTGGCCGAGGGAGGGACAGAGGGCCCAAAGAAGTAGGGCAGCGGCACTGGGGGGGTGGGGGCTGAAGAAGAGCGGCAGGGCCTGTGCGGACATGGTGCCACTCGTCCGTCCCCCCCCTTCTGCTCCTGCCTCAGCTCTGCACAACTGGCAGCCCACGCCCTTTCTGGCCCTTCCCTGTCCAGTGGCTGTCAGTTCCACAGGCCAAGGATGTTCCTCTCCTCGCCCCTGGCTCTGCTCTGCTGCTGCAGCCCCCAATTCCAAGGTTTGCCCCCCCCACCTTCTGGAGGTCCCGCTGAGTCCCCCCCCCCTCCCCGCGCTCACCTTT